ACTTGAATGTAAAATATTATAGTGTAAAGCAAGAAAGTGCAGGATTTAAGCTAGACATATTGAAATTGTATTATAATAAAATATAAATTGTATTGAAATGTTGTATTATTGCGTGTGTTGAACAGGCCTTTTAAGTTATAATATAATGCCTTATTTATAGAATTATGAAATGGCAGTTAACATAAACAGTTCTATAAAGTTCCATTGCCAACTTCAAATGCCTCCAAGTGAATTGGATAGATTGTGCCATGTATCCCATTGTTTTCTTCAATTTTTTTGAAGTTTACATGTGTCCACAGCCATGCAGTCATGCTTTTGATTACGTATCATTTTCTCAAATGAACTGCGTCAATTTTGTCTGAATGATGGCCACTACTCCTTTTAAGGATGGTGGTAATAATGGCCCATAATCAATCATTTGATAAGTGATTCTTGCATCGTGGCGTTTGGAAGAACTGTTTTTCACATTTTTAGGAACCCAGAATTGCATGTTAAAAACTCTCCCTTTGGCTGACACGTTCCTTTGACTGGGTCAGATTCCTTATGTATACGTGGTTCTTCATTTGGCTTTGTAGTGGACTCTTAGTACTCTTCCAATTCTCAAAGTCCCTATTCTCATAGACTCCTTTTAATCAGTTATTGAATTTGTATATGGCAAATCTTCTATAACAATGCGCCACATGTCTCCATCTAACTCGGTAAGTTGCTTTTAATAAAACCATCAGCCACTTTTGATTGAAATTCTCGCGCCTGGAATTGCTTGGGGTTGGACTCCTTCCACGTGTCAATTTTTTATTGAGAGAAAATAAAGGTGTAAACATGACTTACCTTCAATTTCGCTTCCCATCTCAATCTTGCAATTTGAACGGAAAATTACAATTCAATCAGACTTGTTTTAACAATAAAATTCACGAATTACAAATTTTATATCTCACATATTATCATCTTACTATATTTATGCTCCAAGATTACTTTGTATTTTCAAATATATGATACAATTTATATTTTAAAAAGTTCAGATAATTTTTGTTAATACTTTTTGTATAACAAAATTGGGATTTCAAAGGTTAGAAGGAATGAAAGAATACATTTTGAAAGTTAAATACTAAAGTTCGAGATGGTGGTGTAAACATAGAAATAAAGTGACTCTGGCGCATTAAAAATGACTATCTGCTTTTTATAAGAGAGAAGAAAAAACACTGCAACCTTTCAAACCACACAATCTAAACATTATTTATATGGTACCATACGGTGACGGAGTGAGAAATTTTTTTGAGGGGAGCATATTATAGTATTGTACACCAAAATATATATTTATAATATAATGTGTTTATATATATATATATATATTGATATTTTTGGAATTAAATTAATTTACAGGTATAGAATATAAGTATTAAGGAAACCATTTAAGAGAAAAAAATTTAAAACATATATAGAATTTTATGAAAAATGAGAAAATTTAGGAGGACATTTCCCATATTTGTATTAAAAGAAAACATATATATTATTATAAAATATATATATAGAATATAAGAGAGAGAAAATTCAGGGCACGTCCCCGGTCCTTAATTGCCTCCATCCCTAGTACCATAGTCTGAAAATCACTGGGTCCGGTAATCTATTCAGTATTTCACATAATCTACAATTAACAAACAATCCAATGCACAAGAGAAGAAAAATTCTAGAATTCTCCGGGATGACTAAGTGCTGAAAGACTCCGAAATACCTAGAGTATTGTAAAATTTCTAGCCCCAACACAACAAATGACATGGGAACATTTTTTATTTTTTTTCCCTAATTAATGACATGAAAACATTTACATGCTACATATTCAAAAGTAACAAAATACATCTGACACTGCTGTAATATATATTAAATTGATTTAACAAGCAAAGAGTTTAGACTGCATATATACCTAAATAAATAAGTACAAGAATTATTTCATAGAACCGTGATGTGGAACAAGGATACCTATCGAACATCAAATGCAACTATGTCCAGGAAGTGGTATCATCTAGCAAAACAATTAAAAATAAGTCGTCAATGTTAACCAAGGCTCCATGCCTGCATCACAAAGATTCAATGATGAATGAATAGACTATATTTATTGAGGAAAAAATTTTACTAAATGCATGTAACACTCATAATTGTACCTCATTTAAGTCACTAATGTTAAACAACCAGAGTCTCTTGATTTGGTTTAACTGCTATCTGTTTTTCATCTTTCATTAACTGCAATGCTCAATCGTCCAGTCTAATCTTTGTGATGTGGTACTGAGAAGTCATTATATGTGTCTTTAACCAAACCGAACAGGATATACCGGACAAGGTGGGTACCCTTGACTTGTTGAGTTGATTGGGGACTCTCAGCGCGCAATTTGGGTGATCTCAGGCGGGAGTCGAAGTTATCTCGCTTCATTATATATCTTATTATCTCTCAAAAGTTTACTCTAACACATTCCTTTTCCCCAACCTTCATAGCATCAACTATGTTTTTCCTACTTCACAACACATACTCTTCACAGTAGATATAATCATTCCTAGCAAATCTACCAAATATGAAGAGAGCAATTGTTAAATTTTTTTTTTTCCCCCGTCAAATCTATATATGAACAATAAATGAATAATTTAGTATTTTAAAAAAGGATATAGTACAAACATTTGGGTTTGATTGGGCAATTTTTTTTTTTTTTTTTTTTTTTTTTTTTGTGTGTAAGAGTATTTAAAAAAATAAAAATAAGAAGCTTTAAAACGAATTCTCACTAGAAAATTTCTTGATTTTTGAAGAGAATCGGTAGAGATTTCGGTAAAATAAGGTTGTACTGGAGAAAAAAAAAATTTCAAATTTCAAATGTATTTTTGGAAAAGAGAGTTTAGTGAAGAACTGATGGTAGTTATGGAGTACTTTGTAAATGTGCTTGCATGTTGGTACATATAGTAATAACTACCGAGAAACTAGACATCCAGTTGAGAGACTTATAGTAGAAATATTTTTTAGAACACTTGTCGACGTCAACACATATAGACATGTGTAAACGTAAAACGTATAAAAATAAAAACTGAACGCGTACAATGAGAAGCTTTAACTACAGAAGATAGATTATGTAAATATGGGGTGGTTGATGAGACTGAGTTAGGAATTCGTTTGAGGTGCGCCCTATTAAAGAGGGTAAATTATATTTTTTTTTAGTGAATAGTGCTGCAAAACAAATTAGACAATAAGTTAAAATTGAACTGTAATAATTGTGAAATAATAGTATTTAATAATTTGAAAAATAATTATTTAAAAAAAAATGGAAAAGAAGAAGAGTAAGAATGAAAAGAAAGGAAAAATTAAAGATATTTTTTAAAAATAATTATTTTAATGGGCAATTTTGTAAAATTTTATAAATTATAGGCCTATTTGCAATAAAAATTAATTGGCCCAATGGTAAATAATTATTTCACGGGGCATTTTTCACTTTTTTTTATAAATGATTAGCCTATGTGTAATAAAAATTAATCACCGTTTTTGAGGAAAAAAATTATTTTGGGGGGGGGGGGGGGGGGATTTTGATAACTTCTATAAATTATAGGCCAATTTGTAATTAAAACTAAAATATAATGGCTGCTTTCACTTTTTATGGTTTAAAAAAAATTTGTATAATTCACTTTTTATGGTTCAAACATTTGAGTTTGATTGGGCAAATTTTTTTTTTTTTTTATTTATTTATTTTTTTGTGACAGAGTATTTAAAAAAAATAAAAATAATAAGTGTCGCGCTCGGATTTTTCCCCACCCTCTATAAGAGTCGCCACCTAGCATAGGATTATGGTGTGCTAGGTCACCTATGGTGTCTAAAGACTTTGAAAAAATAGATGGACATCTGAGAGGTCTAATTTGGGCCTGTGGAGGGAAAAATCCCCCTCTAGTGAGGATCGTCCACATCATCACGCTACAAATTTATGTTCTTTATATTGCGAGGGCCCAATCCGTATCAAGCCCAAATTACAAAAGCCTAATCCAGAACGAGCCCAAGTTGATTCTTCCTTCAGATCAAGATTACTAACATTGGCCCTTTGGCCCATTATTCAAGCCCAGCTGATTTAAGGTGCATTCAGCCCAGGATATTTGAGAATGAACGAGTCCTGCCAATTGAAGGATTCATCATAGAAGGTAAATTCTATACAAGGAAGATCTGTAAAAAGGGAAGTCTGGCATGGAAAAAAGTATAAAAGGAAACAACATGATAGGAAGGAGCATTGTATATAGAATGTATTGGAGGGTAAGCAATGTGAGTCCTACCATACTTCTACCACCCTTTGTGTATAAATAGAGGCCTAGACCTCCAATAAAATCTATCGAGCAATATACGTTTTTCTCTGAGTACTATAATTGCTTATTTTGAGTGAGTTGTATTTTTCTTTTTATTTCTTTTAATAGAGAGAAATTTTGCACCTACACTTTAGCGCCGTCTGTGGGAACCGTATAGAAATATACTCCCACTATTGTTTCAAATCGTTTCTGTTACTACGATCTGGAATGTCAGACGGAGAATCTACAACAGTGGCTGATCAACAGATGGAGTTGATACAAAAGATGCGAGAAGAATTATTGCACCAGTTCGAAACGCTTCATCAGGCGAACGAAGCCAACGTAACCCAGATTGCATTGCTTCAACAGCAAAACGACATCCTTCAAACAGCGATGGCTCAATTGACACCATAGCCACCACCAGTTAATACGGCCGCACCTCCCCCCAACCAAAACGCTCTTCCAGTTACGAGCCTCAAGGCAATGGGGCGCAGCCTAATGAAGCTAGGCCCAACGAAGTTCAGCAAGAGTAGAGGACAAGGACCGAGGCAGTCGCTTCGGACAATCTTCCTCGTCGCACGTAGGACGAACAGGCCAAGTCCAAGCGCAAGCTTATGGTATGGTCTAATGGCATTCCGGATGGCGCAGGCGTATAGGAGGCCCTTGATGAAAAGAGACTGCTGGGGATTTAGACGCCCGTCGAGATGGCAAGAAAGCATAAGAACTCCCTAATGAAGACTTCGTTCACCGATGATATATACCTTGTTGACAGGCCTAAGAAATTCACTATGCCTTCCTTTACCCAGTTCGATGGTACAGGAGATCATTCTCGTCACCTCGATCACTATGCACAGAAGATGGCTCTGGACGATCACAACGATCCATTCAAGTGCAAAGTTTTTCCGACTAGCCTAACAGGAGCTGTATTGGAGTGGTTTAGGAATAGACCACTCAAATCCATCCCGGACTACGAAACTCTGTGCACTATATTCCTAGTAGAATACTGTGGAACCAAAAAGTAAAAGAAGAGTATCGCTAACCTCTTCACCATAAGGCAAAAGAAAGGAGAAACGTTATAGGATTTCTTGTCTAGATTTAACATGGAGGCCTTAGAAATAGCAGATTGCCATCTTGCGACTGCAATAGAAACGTTCAAGCTTGCAATGATTTAGGGAAGCAAGTTCCATACCTCCCTAGTCAAATATTCTCCTCCAGATATCCAGACTATCAATACTAGGGCACAGATCTACATCCGACTTGAGGAGAATGTAGCCCACCGAGCACAGCATGCCACCCTCGTCACAGTAAAGAATAAACCTCGAGAAAAAGTTTTAAATTCAAAAAGTCAAAAAAACCAGCTTGCCTCAGCACCGGTCACTCAGGTACCTGAGAAGAGGTATAGGACAGAGGAAAGGTTCACACCTCTTCACACCACCTTGGCTCGGCTGTTCCAAGAAAACAAGATAAGATTCGCAGCCCCTCAGCCAATGAGGCAACCCTTAGAGCAGAGGGACAAAAGCAAGCACTGCGCCTACCATAGAGATTACGGGCATACAACCAATGATTGCAGATCCCTTAGGCGGCAAGTCGAGAACATGATAATCAGGGGTGAGTTGACAAACTACCTCACAGCAAAGGAGTACGTGAAGCTTCTGGAGGTCAATCCTCGAAAAGTAGAAGGCACTCAAGTAAAGGTCATCCATGCAATACATGGGAGATCAGAGGATGACCAAGAGTCGAAGGAAGTATATGGATTTAGGCTGAGGGCAGACCATAAGCTAAGGAAGTTATCCTCGGTGAACACTATCACTTCAGGCAGTATCAGTATTGGGTTCGGCAATGGAGATTTATCTAGAGTTCAACTCCCCCACGAGGATCCACTAGTCATCAGTCTTCTGGTGGCAAATTGCATGATCAAAAGGATTTTGATAGACCCAGGTAGTAGTGCCAATATTATCACAAAGGCGGTCTTTGAGCAGCTGGAGATCCCGTCATCATCAATTCTACCCACCTCCAGTCCCTTAATAGGATTTGATGGCACGAAGGTGGACCCCATTGGGGTGATTGACTTATTCGTCACTACGGCAAAAAGGACATTAAAGGAGAACTGTGTTCTAACAGAAATCCATCATTCTTATAATCTCATTATGGGAAGAGGCTAGATCCACCGAATGAATGGGGTTTCGTCTATCCTTCACCAGGTGATGCGCTGCTTGTCTCCGGATGGTAAGGAGGTTACTAACCTTTGGGGAGATCAGGTCGCTGCTAAAGAATGCTATATGTTGACACAAAATGAAGCAAGGAAGATAGTTAAGCAACCCCAACCAGTTACGACTCCTGGGAGTATGTCCAAATATCAATTACAAAGCCCTCTGCCCAAGTACCTGAAAGCGGAGGATGAAGCTGAAGCCACAAAGTCTACCAAGGAATCCCTCGAGGCTGTTGAAGTAATCTTCAGTGATCCCCAGAAAGTCACCTATATAGGCTCTTCCCCCACAGCCGAAGAAAAGGAAGCATTAATTGATGACATTCGACATAATGCAGATGCATTTGCTTGGGATCATTCAGACATGGTAGAAATCAATCCTTCAATCTCATGCCTTAGCCTGAAGGTGGATCCGGCATTCAAGCCAGTCAAACAAAGACACAGAAGGTTTGCTCCTGAGCGCAATCGAATTATTGCTGAAGAAGTAAACAAATTGCTTCAGGCAGGCTTCATCCAGGAAGTGCACTATCCAAAATGGCTCTCAAATGTTATGGTAGTTCAAAAGAAGAATGGAAAATGGAGAGTGTGCATAGATTTTACCAATCTCAACAAGGCTTACCCTAAGGACAGCTTTCCATTACCCAAGATAGACTAGATGGTCGACGCTACCATCGACTATGAAGGGCTCACATTCCTTGATGCGTATTCCGGGTATAACCAGATCCCTATGAATCCAGAGGATGAAGAAAAAACTGCCTTCATAATAGAGAAAGGCACTTACTGTTACAGAGTCATGCCCTTCGGACTCAATAATGCTGGTGCGACTTACCAACGTCTCGTTAATAAGATCTTCCACAAGATGTTGGGAAAGACGGTCGAGGCCTACATTGATGATATAATAGTTAAAAGTGTAAAGAAGGAGGATCATCCTAAGCACCTCTATGAAGTCTTAAACACTTTAAGAAAGTATAACATGAAGCTGAATCCTTCCAAGTGTTCCTTTACAGTCTCTTCAGGGCAGTTCCTCGGCCATATTGTCAATAAGAGAGGAATAGAAGTAAGCCCAGTTCAGGCTCAGGCCGTTATACAAAATCAAGAACCAAAAACTCGCAGGGAAGTACAGGTTCTGACTGGCTGAATCGTAGCTCTTAGCTGCTTCATCTCTCAGTTATCAGACAAGTACAAACCATTCTTTGATGCAATAAGATCTAAGAACAAGGATATATGGGGACCTCAACAACAAGTTGCTCTCAATCAATTGAAGTACTACATAACTGAACCTCCAATTCTAGTTGCTCTAAAGCCTGGTGAGACTCTCATTATATATTTAGTAGTCTCCGGCATAGCCACAAGTGCCGTACTGATCAGAGAATAAAGGAAGAATCAGTATCTAGTCTTCTACCCAAGTAAGAAAATAACATATGCTAAAACACGGTATAGCAAAGCAGAGAAGGTCATACTAGCATTGGCGTATGCAAAGAGGAGGCTTCGACACTATTTTGAGTCACATAGCATCATAATCCTAACCAACTATCCTATGCGAGTTATTCTTTCTAAGCCAGACTTGTCCGGAAGAATAACTAAGTGGGCAATCAAAATTAGTTCCTTCGAAAGATCTTACAAACTGAAGATGTCACACAAAGGGCAGGCATTGGCTGACTTCCTTCTTGAGTGTGAAGATAAGCCCGAAGAGCTAGACCCTCCCGAACCACAATGGGAGCTTCGGGTAAACGGTTCTTCTAACCTAACTAGTGCCAGGGCCGGGGTCATTATCACAACCCCTGAAGGCACCAAGCTGCAGTAATCAATCTGTCTGACTTTTACTACAACTAACAATGAAGCCGAGTATAAGGCCTTGCTCACTGGGCTCCTGGTTGGCAAACCAACTCCAGGTAAGGTGTCTAAAGGTTTTTAGTGACTCCCAACTTATTGTGCATCAGGTGACAGACAAATATTAGCCCAAAGAAGAAAGGATGAAAGCATACAAAGAGGCTGTGGAGAGTGCTACATGAGGATTCGATCAAATTGAATTCCACCAAGTACCTCGTGATGAGAATTCTGAAGCAAATCAGTTGGCCGCAATAGCATCTTCTTCAGACGAAAATTTAGTCCGGATAGTACTAATTGACATCCTGGACGAACCTAGCATAAGCCCTCTGCAGGAGATAATGGTGATCCCAGATATTCTACGAGAACCATGCTGGATGGATCCGTTGGAAGCTTACCTCAAGCATAGAACTCTTCCGAACTAAAAAGCCAAGGTAAGGAAACTCAGACTCGCTGCAGCCAGATATTCTATCATCAATAGTCAATTATATCGGAAGTCATTCTCAGGTCCTTACTTGGAATGTTTAAGCCCCACTGAGGCCCTCATGATATTGAAGTAAATTCATGACGGGGATGTGGCAACCACTCCGGAGGCAGATCCTTAGCACATAAGGTCCTAACTCAAGGTTATTTCTGGCCATACCTGGCTCGGAATGTTGAAGAGTATGTTAGGAGATGTGACAAATGCCAGCGATATGGTCCAATGAATTATCAACCTACTAAAGATTTACACGCAATGGCGAACTCATGGCCATTCGCACAATAGGGGATTGATATGGTCGGTCCTTTACCCAAAACTGTGGAGCAAAAGGAATACGTGTTGCTAGCCACAGATTACTTCACAAAATGGGTGGAGGCAGAGGCTTATTCAAGAGTGACCCATGAGAAAGTAAAAATTTTTCTATGGAATAACGTAATCTGTCGATTTGGAGTGCCAAAGGTTATCATGATGGATAATGGTCCGAACTTAGACAACAGAAACACAAGAAAATTCTTCGCCGAGCATGGGATCAGGCAAAAGTTGGCTGCAGTTAGCCATCCGCAGGGAAATGGGTAAGCTGAAATAACTAACCGAACCATTTTCAGCTGCCTGAAGAAAAAATTAGAAAAGCTCAAATCAAAGTGGTATGAAAATCTACCTCAAGTACTTTGGGCATATCGAACTACCCCACGAAGACCGATGGGGGAAAGCCCCTTTGCCATGGCCTATGGGTCTGAACCTGTCATCCCCACAGAGTCAGCAGTGCCTACTCTTCGAACATATTTGGTGCTCAAGGGAAACAATAATCAACAGCTTGAGTGAAGCCTTGACCTCTTGGACGAAAAGAGGGACGCTGCAGCAATTAGACTCACTTCATACCAACAACAGTTGCGTAACAATTATAACAAGTGAGTTAGGTTCAGGAGCTTTGTGGTAGGTGATTGGGTGCTGAAGTAGGAAACAGCCCATGTAAAAAAATTACAACCTAATTAGATCGGACCTTACAGAGTCACAGAAGTGGTAAGGAAAGGAGCTTACTGGTTAGCTGAAGTTAATGGGCGTCCAATTGCGCGTCCATGGAATGCAATACACCTAAAATGGTATTATCATTAGACAATATAGTCCATTTACTTTTCTTTTACAAACAGTAAAAGAAACATGTCTGTTTATAGGCCCACATAATAAAAGTTTCTTGATTAATATACTTCTTTGCTCCTTTTCTCTCTAAACTTTAGTGATGTGGGATATTACTTGTTACTACTTTATTTTCTGTCATAGGGGGCAATACATATACCCTACTACTGATATTACGACAAAAGAAAGATGTTACCATACTACTGATATTACGACAAAAGCTATATTTTCGCTTTTTGGCTGTATTTTTATCCCACATCGGTCCACCATTATTCTACAAGTCCTTTTAAAAAAGGATATACTTTAGAATGAATGTATATTATAACGAATGCCTATTGGAAATTCAGGTAGTATTTAGACCATAGACCTAAAGGACACTCTTTGCAATATTTTCTTTCATTTTTTGATACAATGCACAAATGTATGTGGCTTAAAGTACTTGGGTGTATTGCAAAGAGGGTCCGCTGGTAATAGTAACAGCCCAGCCCAAATTCTGATCAAAGTCTTGGTACCAACGAGCATTCTTTGCAATAATTCTTTTTTAAAGCTCACATTTCTGGCCCATATTATAAACTCTATTCTTTGTCCCACGTCAAATAGAAGTACAAGAGGTATATAGTTAATATAATTGTGGCACACCACATCTGGTCACCACAAAAAGAGTCTTTATAGAAGATAGTCTCCCAAGCAAATGCATGGGAGACTTCCCAGTCACAGTTACTCTTTTTTGTGGCCTCATATCATTTTTGAATATTCGACCTGTCTTGCATACTTGATAACTTTTCCAGCTCAGGCTTCGGACCTCAAGAGTCCGGCACAATACGATTCCTCTCAGGCTCATAGCCGAGGAATACATCGCCTCGAACCTCAAGAGTCTGGCATAATACAATTCCTCTCAAGCTCATAGCCGAGGAACATATCTCTTCAGACCTCAAGAGTCCAACGCAATACAATTCCTCTCAGGATCATATCCAAGGAATATATCGCTTTGGACCTCAAGAGTCTGGCACAATATGATTCCTCTCAGGCTCATAACCGAGGAATACATCGCCTCTGACCTCAAGAGTCCAGCCTAATACAATTCCTCTCAAGATCATAGCCGAAGAACATATCGCTTCGGACATTAAAAGTCCAGCGCAATACAATTCCTCTCAGGATCATAGCCGAGGAATACATCGCCTCGGACCTCAAGAGTCCAGCACAATACAATTCCTCTCAGGCTCATAGCCGAGGAACATATCGCTTCAAACCTCAAGAGTCTAGCGCAATACAATTACTCTTAGGCTCATAGCCGAAGAACATATCGCTTCGGACCTCAAGAGTCCAGCACAATACAATTCCTCTCAGGCTTATAGTCGAGGAATATATCGCCTCGGACCCTAAGAGTCCGACACAATACAATTCCTCATAGGCTCATAGCTGAGGAATATATCGCTTCGGACCTCAAGAGTCTGGCACAATACAATTTCTCTCAGGTTCGTAGCCAAGGAATATACCACCTCGGATGATTCAAA